TGATCTCACTTATTTGTGGATTATAATGAACATAACAGTCTGAGGAACAGGGTAGACAAAGATACGTGGAAGTAGGGTATATAGACTAACAATCCTCAGAAGACTGGGTAGGGAAGGGAAGAGATAAACCATAGAACTTATATGCATGTACGCATAACCGTTGGACATGGACAACAAAGCTGGGGATGGGGTGGGGGGTGGGGAGGAGGGTGTCAATGGGGAAAAAAGTTGAAATATCTGTAACAAAAATAAATTAACAACAAAAAAAATTAGGCCCTGGCCTGTTTGGCTCAGCTGTTAGAGCGTCAACCCGTGGACCAGAGAGTCCTGACTTCAGTTCCCGCTAAGGGCATGTATCTCGGTTGCAGTTTATCCCTGACCCTGTTGGGGTCATGTGGGTGGCAACCACTCAATGTGTCTCTCTCACATCAATGTTTCTTTCTCTCTCTTCCTCCCTCTCTCCCTCCTGCTCTATCTGAAGATAAATGCCAAAGAAAAAGAAATTAGTTCTCCAAAATCAAAAAATAAGTAAATAAAATAATTTTTTATTGATTTTAGAGTGAGAGGGAGTGGGATAGAAACATTGATGAGAACAATTGGCTGCCTCCAGCATGTCCCCCACTGAGGATCAGGCCCACAACCTGGGCATGTGCCCTGATCAGGAATCGCACCCGCGACCTATTGCTGCATGGGTTGATGCTCAACCACTGAGCCACACTGGTCGGGCTTTTTTTAAATCTTCATCTGAGGATAGTTTTCCACTGATTTTTAAATACAGTAGAAGGGAGGGAGGAAGAGGGGGAGAGAAACATCAATGTGACAGAGACACACTGATTGGTTACCTCCTGTATGACCCCTACTGGGGCTGAGGTTCAAAGCTGTAACCCAGTAACATACCCTTGACCAAGAATGGAACCCTGACTCTTCAGTCTCTGGGCTGATGTGCTACCTGCTGAGCCAAACTGGCTAGGGCTATGACTTGCTTTTAGTTAAAAAATTTTTATTTTAGATCATCCTATGTGGTACTTTATTTTTCTGAGTTTTTTTTTTTTTTTTTAAATTTTTTAAAGAAGTATTGATTTTAGAGAGAGAAGAAGGGATAGAGAGTGGGAGAGAAACATTGATTTGTTGTTTCACCTATTTATGCATTCATTAGTTAATTTTTGTATGTGCCCTAACTGGGGATAGAACCCACAACTTTGGCACATTGGTACAATGCTCTAACTGAGCTACCTGGCCAGGGCTAGGTCTCTGAGTTTTTAAGGACTGCCTTGCAAGCCTCCCCTGAGCTTGTCAGATTTAGCGTGTTGCCCCTTTTTTGTCCACACTGCCTTGGAAGGAGTAAGGATAAAATGGATGATGGAATTAAGAAACTGCTCAAAGCCTCTTTGTACATGACACACAGTAATGTAAGCATTTCTATCCTCATTCAATGTTGGATGTCATGAGGGTAGTGGTATAAGTCAGCTCTGCGAGGACTAGCACAACTTATGGTGGTTCTCTTGTCAATAAAATGTGGCCCTTTCATGGAGTCATGAGGAAAGCACTTCTGGTGACCCACATATGGGAAGACAAGGTGTTGTGGTAAGGTTTGTTGAAGCTGGAGCAAACACAATGGACTGTCCCGGATTCAGGTCTATCCCACTGTGGAAAAAGTCCAGGCTTTTCTTCATCTGGCATAGAAATAGGGACAGTGTCCAGAAATTCTGTGCCATGACAAGACTTAGTCCAGTTTAGTCACTGTCCCCATCTGACTAGCTTAGTCTGTTCCCACCTGTGCTTTGGCTGGCACTCTGCCTAGACTTATACGTGGAGCCTGCGTTTGAAGTCTGTGTGGCTGCTGGACCCCAGGTGGCTGCTAGGCCCTCATGGTTGTTATGGAGAGAAAAGCATTAACAAACTCAGGTAACAGGCCAACACCCGTTACTGGCGCAGAGTGAGTGAGAGAGCTTTGTTAAATTTGGATGATCTCGGGATTGGGAAGGGCCAGGCACTTTTTCAAACTAACCAATCAATTTCCCAATCCTTCACAGGATTGTCTTGGGTCTTTCCTCTAACCAACCAATTTTCCTGGATCTTCCAGGATTCTGTGTCCCCTATCCAATCTGATACTTTTCCCTGGCCAGGCTCCTCCCATTTAAGGTCGCCATCTTAGTTCCTATTGCACGTGCTTTATGAAAGAACCACCTCCCCCTATGCCATCTAGTCTTTTACTGGGCATGTGCCCAGCAGGAAATTTCCTCGTTATTATTATTCTTCTACCCATAGTTTTGACTAACAGACAGGTTGTACCCTAGAGACTGGAAAGCCGGTCCCTTCTTCCTGCATGGGGTGAAAGGGGTGCTAATCTCCCTGGTGGGGCAATACTCTGATCGCTGGGGTTGCCTATGAATGCTGTAGCTTCCTAGCAAAGGAGGCCTGATACTTGTTTCAACTTCCTAGTTTGTTGTGCTTAATAATGCCTGACTACCTTTGTTCTCTTCATTAATATATCTAGTTCCCTAAAAGGTCTGAGCCTGCGGGAGATCACATCCACAACACAAGGCCAGTGTAGACCAAAATGCTTTATTGCATGCACCTGGGTGCAGGTGGGCTCAGCCTCAAATCACAGTTGAGGTGCAGGTTGTGTACTCTACTTTTAGCTTCTAGCAGTTCCTGCTGACATACTCTGCCTGGCCCATGGTCCACTTTGCAGTTGGACTGGTCTGATATCCTGTCCTGCATTTGCTGGGTGATTGTCTTGTGGATAACCCAAGAATCCTTCTCAACAGAAGGTTGAGCAAAGGTCATGCAGGCAAAACGATTTTTCAGTTTCCGCCTTTTGCAAGCTTTTACCTTTACCCTTTAAAACATTACTAACCCTTTCACTACCTATGCTAACAATTCCACAGCTGAATCTCCACTCCTGAGTCAAGCTGAGGAAATGGGATGAGAATACACTTTATTTTCTTCACCACAAATTCAGCTGGTGTGTGAACCAAGTACAAGTATGTGCCTGAATCACCTCATGATTTACTTTTAGTTCAATGTTGAGCAAATCATGAACATTAGCCATGATTTATTTTTTCTATTTAATAGGAACATATTTTCCTTAGGGAATTAATCATGTTGAAAACTTGAATTTTCCCTTTGAGCATGACTTTTGTTTTGTTTTAGCCATTTTAAGAGAATTATTCTTAAAAGGCATTGCCTAATGCTTTTCTGAGTATGAATTTAATTTGCCTTGGGGACTTACAGCTATTATGAATGTAATCCATTGCCATCCTGAGATGTACTTAATGTTCAGATTTAGCTGTCTCAGAATTTGGTATAATATGTCCTCTGTGTGCTTCTATACCATCAGATATCTCACCTCTGCTTTTGCTGTAGCTGCCTGCTCTTCTCTGCTTCTCAGTGGCACTGCCTTGTGTCTTGGTCAGGGTTTCAGTTAAGACAGAAAAGCCAAAGCAGGAAGTGAGGTCCAGGGGTAGGGTGAGCCTGGTGCAGCTTGGTAGCATCTACCCTAGGTGCCATGTCTTCTGCACTGCTCTGTTCCAGGAGGTCCTACCATGTGGCTAGTAAAAGACTACTGTAGCTCATTTCTGTGCCCTGTCTTGTCTTGTGGTATGTGGGCAATAGCCCCTTTTCCAATGGTGTTTTTGTGTCTGCTTCCTAGGGGCCCTGATAGAGTTGACTGGCCTGGTATAAACTTGTCACTTAGGCCAGAGATTGTGATGCTGGGGATAAGCATCACAACCCCCTAGCAGACAGGGTGGGTCCCTGAAAAAAGTGGGAACAAGATGGCCCCCAAAATAAATCAGGATGGCTTTACCAGAGAGGGGCGATAAGGACAACCTAAACTTTTTTTTAATTTTTATTTTATTTATCCTTACCCAGGGACATTTTTTGATATTTTGTTCAGATAGAGTGGGAGGGAGAGAGAGAGAAACATTGACATGAAAGGGACACATCAAGTGGTCACCACCCAAATGACCCAACCAGGGCCGGGACAAACTGCAACCTAGGTACGTGTCCTTAGCAGGAACTGAACCCGGATCTCTCCAGACCGCAGGCCAACACTCTTAACTGCTGAGCCAAACTGGCCAGGGCACAACCTAACCTTTTAATGATTTATCTGTAAGCCTCTTACTATACCCTACCCTGGCAGGGTGTGGATATAGACTATTGCAATAGAAAAGCATTCCTGCTGTGTCTTCCCACAGCACTCAGAGATGCACAAGTGTGTCTTTCTCAGTGAGTTGCCTTTCTGTGCATTCAGACTGCCTCAGGTGGGAACTTGGGAGTTTTCCCAGCCTCCCTTCCCTGATCCCTTGGGCACAAGAACAAACACCGTCCCTGGGAAGAACTATTCCCAGCTTCTGCTTTAAAGGCAACAGTGGGCTCAGGTTTTATGGGAGACAAACCAATGTTTCACATCTCACCTATCTTGGTACCAGTTCAATGTGTCCTTCTCTGTTTCTCTGTTTAGTGAAAGATATGGAAAACCTCATCCACCCACATCTAGTGTAAAGACAACCTGGGCTATATGGGATGTCTCACAGGCAAGCTCGTGCTTCTCCTGTATGCAGTCTGTAATGTTGATTGAGCTGCCTAGAGATTTTTTGTGTCCTCATTCTTATCTATGTCCTAGATTAGCCCTAGTCACCAGACCCTGTGTGATGACTGAAATATTCTCATCCACATGTCTTATCTGATACTACTGACCATGTGTGACTACTGAGCACTTGAACTGTGGCGACTGCCATGAAAGAAATGAATATCGTTTTTTGTTTGTTCTATTTTATTCAATTGTTTTTATTTACATTTAAATAGCTACATGTGACTAGTGTATTGGATAGCACAATAATCTAGAGACAGGTGAACTTACCAAATAAGTCTAAGATAGGTGACCTCTTATTGTGTAGTTCCTATAAGATAATACATTTTTGCGTGTGTGTTCTCGAGTGAATGGGCCCCTTCCAGTTTTGTTCTTAAAATTACAATCAGCAAAATTATTTGATAAAAAACAACAACAACAACAACAAAAACCACACCACAAACAGAAGAGAATGAACAAAATAAAGCTTTATTTGTGCTGTCCTACAGATCATTCTGAGGCCCTGGTCACTGCAAGTTTACATCTAAGCCATTTCATAAATAGCACCATAACTACAGTCTTCCAAGTCTACCACAAATGTGAAAGGTTCAGGTGCATAGTTCTCTGTGGCTAAGCATGGTAACAACAGACCATCACTCAGTATACAGCCACTGCCCAGCCCACTGGGTGTCACAGGTATATTTGCCTAATCACCAGAGAGGCCAGTGCAGGTACAGTCCACAGTATATATTCAGTATCCTAGACATCCCTTGAATACCTAAACAGGTGCAAGTCACCGCAGACTGTGAGGGAAAGACAAGGATAACCTTTTCCTGTCCTCAAGGATCTAACTCAGCAGGGTACCTTCCTGTACTCCACACCATCATCTCTGGCATGCTTGGCTAATAAACAAATACTTTTTGACTTGATGATTTACATCATCTTGCTAACTTTCAGAGGACTTATGGCACATTTGAAAGAAAGAAACTTGATTCAGAGCTCCAGCTCTCGTCACTGGACCTCTATGGTTCTTATGCCCCAATGACAGAATGAAGAGCAGGTAGAGTTTGCGAGGATCCAGTTCTAGACAAATCAGTGCTCTAAGTTACCTGAGTTTTCACTGGCTTCCCTGAACCACCCCACAAATTTGGAACATGTTGATCTCCTACCAAGAGGTATCCAAGGTTGGTAGGGGAAAATCTTTCCAGATCACAGCTTGGAGAAACAGAACATGTGACTGGAATAGCTTTAGAACTCAAAGGTGAGCACATTCATGCCACCACTTTACAAGTTGGGTTTAATTGTACACAAACCAAGAGAATTAGAAATTTATATCAAAAAAAGGGATGCTGCAGGCTCAAGCATTCTCAAGAGAGCTGTGTTTAGACTGAGGTACAAACCCTTCCAATTCAGATTTCCAAATATGCCAAACAATAATTAAAAGTACAACATCGGATCCTCTCCATGTTTCCCATGAGTGAAAGCAGACAAGATGTTCATAACTCTAAATGTTACAAAGAGTGTGTACAAGCAAATTCACACATTCCACATGTGTGTTTGAATATTATTCTTCCAAAATATAAAAGTATAAAAATAAAATCTCTGCCTTTTATATCTAGAAACATCTGGAAAACATAATTGCTTCTATTTCTCAGTCATCTGAGCAGACACACATTTTACCAGGTTTTTCACCTTCCTCTGCTGTTAGGAAAGGGCACAGAAACAGAGACTTTTCATTCAAGGAAACCAAATTTAAGACAATAGAACAAACACTAACTACATTTGACAGTATCCCTGCATGGGTTCTCCAACAGAAAGAAAGAAGAGATTTTAGCATTGACCTTACATTAGGGGCAGTGAGGGTTATGTGCTGGGAGAGGACAACTCTGGGACATCTAAAAACAAGTCAACTAAGAACTATTTTCTAGAAGGACAAGTTCGGATCTTGGGCACTGGGTTTTAGTCACAGCCCATTACTGACCAGCAGCCCCCTTGTCTTTGTGCTTCTGGTAGGCACTTAGTATTTCTGCAATGATGCTGGGGTCCTCCAGGGTGGTGATGTCCCCTAGATCATGAGCTCTGTCTGTGATTATCTTCCTCAGGAGCCTCCGCATAACTTTTCCAGACCGAGTTTTTGGAAGACGTTTCACTACCTGGCAAGGAAATAGTGCAATATTAGAATCTGAGGTGGTGACCACATTCTCAGTCAGCATCTGACTGCATTGAGATAAGAAGGGCTCTTCTCAGATCATAAGGCCCATGTTCTCTGGTTTTATCTACCCACAATCTGAACCTGAAGTGGTATCAACCCAAAGGGCAGACTCAACAGTGAATCATGCTGAAACCTCCACCAGGCCAGAGTTCACCTGTACCTGGGTGTACCTCACTGCCAACATCTCTGTTTCTCCCTTAAGTTATATTAGCAAGAACCCCCAGGTAGCAACAGAACCAAAGAGTTGTCACAGCACCACATCTACACCTCCTGGCCTGGGTCTGGGTTGGTTTTGTATTATGTCTGAGGTGAGAGCTGCTTAAGAGAAAAAACATTATCTTGCAGGGGTGTGAAAATTTAGCATTTCACATTTTTAAAAAACCATAACCCATTCAAAGGCAATGGCAATACATTAGGAGCTATATCTGGGCACTTTAACAGTGACCTATCTTTTGAAAGAGTTCAGTTCATGTAGGGAGAGTTCAGGTCTCCCTGAAACTCTATTCCCCAAGCCAACAGTTAGACCTTGTGCCACACCAAATAAGCTTCAGAGGACCACTTTGAGATGAAGGAACACTATGGGGGAAATGTTAACAAATGAAAAGCTAATGGGGCCAAGAGGGTGGCCCAATTCTTCCACAAAACTACTCCAACACAGGCTCCCTCAGATAGGGTATAGTGACATCTCCTTTTCTGGCACCAGGAACGGTGTTCAGAAACCACACAGGAGCTAAAGAACTGTGCTACCTTCCACATGTTTCTCTATTTAAAATCCCTAATTTCCTTCTGTTTCTGTAACCAGCCTCCATATGCCAAAGTAGAGAGCATCTGCTCTTGCCCAGCACTACCCCTGAACATGTAAGCTGTTCAGATTTCTGCCACTGTATCTCCCTGCTCCTCTCCCTCTCTCTCTGACAATACAGCCATCTGCTACTCTCATCTACCACTCAGGAAACCAAACAGCTAGTGTCGGTTTTTCTGTGATGTTAGTTGTGGGAAGTGGAGAAGGTTTAGATGGGCAGTGCAGTCAAACCTGAGGCAGACGTGCACTCACCAGAATCTGATCGGGCACAGCGTACTTGGCAATCTTGGAGGCCACTGCAGACCTGAGTTCACTCACCACCACATCCGAGTCACCTGCATTGTCTTTCAACACAATGAAGGCAAATGCAGCTGGAAGGAGAGCAAGATGTTGGAATGTGTTAGCCAGAGTATTGTATACAAATCACCATAAATTCAAATCATATGTTGGTGACCTTGTAGCAGCTGGTTTCTTTAGTTGCATCCCTAAAGATGCATTATCATATTCATTCAAAGAGAAAGATTCTGTCAGTTCCTCTGAATATCCTAGGTGGGAGGGCATGTGTGGGTGAGAGCTTGGCACCATGGCTCTGATACTTAGACTGGCTGTGTTGTGTGACATTGAACACAGGACTTATCCTAACTGTCCTAGCACCTGTGAAATAGCCCTGTAACACAGGCTCACAGGAAATTTAATCAGTTCCCAAGAGATGATACAAGGGAACACTGCACATGCCACTAACTTTGTGCATATGTGTCCAACATTGTAAGCACCAGCCACAGTGAATATCTAAATTTAAACTAAGTTAAAAATGCAGTTCTTTGGTTACATGAGTCACATGATAGATAGTTCCATCATGGCAGAAAGTCTGTGGGGTGGCAATGGCTATCCCATACTTTAGCAAACTTTGTCAATATCCTACCTTGTTCCAGAAAAGATTTACAGTGGTTCCCATAGGTCTCTAACTGTATTTCTTTTTAATTTATCTGGGATAATCTTATATATGGTATGACATCAGGATCTAATTCAATTTTTTGTCTATATGAGCAGTCACTTGTCCCAGCACAATCTTGGGCAGTGTCCTTTCCCTTACTGACCTGTAATGTCCCCCTCTCTCATACATAAAGTTCTTACATATGTGCAGCCCTCCTTGTTCATTTGTTTGTTTATTCCTATACCAATTCTACCCCATCTTAATAAATTTTCCTTCTGGTACATATCACCTAACATACTATGTAGTTTCCTCATTGATCATTTTTATTGTTTATGTCTGTCTCTTCCCTCTAATCCCTAATCACCACAGCATGTCAGCTCTAGGGCAGCAGGACCTCCTGTCTCTTTCACTTTCTGCTGTGTCTCAGTATCTACAACTGTGCCTGGAGTATAGCAGGTGCTCATCAAATGTTTGTTAAATGCATTTATGAATGACTTTCCTGAATAAACTATAATCTGTAGAGATTTACAACCTTTGCCTGAAAACCTCTCCACATCTCTACCAGTCAAACTCCCATTCATCCCTCAAGACCCAGGTTAGCTACCTTGTACTCTGTGAAGCCTTTCCTGACTCTGTCCATGAATGCAGCTGTGGCATTTTCTACGTGTGAACAGTTATTGTTCCCCCATGCTTACCTCATTAGGTCGTCAGATCTTTGAAGGGAAGAGCTGCATTTTTCTCTCCTCTTAGTATTTAAGATTCTGAGCAGTCTAGGCCCAAACCAAAGGGGCTCAGAGGAAAGGGACAAGCTAACACCTGAGCTGGCTGTGTAATCCCACTGAGAGATGTTTATTGTAGATTTAATGAAAAAAAAAAATTTTTTTTATCTTCACCCAAGGACATTTTTCCATTTTTTGTTTAGATAGAGCAGGAGGGAGAGAGAGAAACATCGATGTGAAAGGGACACATCGAGTGGCTGCCACCCACACAACCCAACCAGGCCGGGGACAAACTGCAATCTTAATGAAAATTTTAAAACCAAAGCAACAGATACTGATTACCAAAAATTAAAACACTGTAGAAGTATATAAAATAAAATTGTACCTCCCCTCCCTGCCTCTCTCCTTTCACTCTTCCACTTAAAGGTAGTGCAGAAGGATGATTAGGAGAGACTGCTCTGGCTCCATATCCTACCTCTGCCACTTGCTAGCTGTGTGGCCTTGTTACCTGTGAGGAAGCCACCTAACCAGTCTGTGCCACAGTTTTCTACTTATAACCTGGGGAGCTAACAGTACCTGCCTCACAGCTGTGTGTCAGGATTAAATGGTGACAGCCCTTGTACAAAACCCACAAGTAACAGGTTCTTAGGGGCTGCTGGCTGTTGTCCCCAGACCCAAATTTTAAAGTTAATTTCTCGATGTATATTGCCATCTTTTAAACCCTAGTGGGATCACACTGGACATGCTGCCCTGTGTACTTGCTTCCCTCTGTCTCTAATTGGCACCCTTCCCTGCCAGTCACTTGTATCTATAATGAGATGGCAATAAAATGAGCCTGGATTGTTGAATTCTAAGCAGAGATGGGTCAGGAAAGCCTCAACGTAGGATGAGGAGTAGGCTGAGAGCCCGGAGGAGGTTGCACAAGGCTGAACTCAGGGACTGGTAAGACAGGCTGATGGCAGAAGCTCAACACATCGGTCAGATCAAGTACCGACAGAGAGAATGGGGACAAATAAATACACAAAAGCTTTCACAGATTGTTTTCGAGTTCACCAAAAACAGTTAATGAATTATGTATTATTACAAATGAACAGATACTCAATTTTGTAAGAAATCAGAAAAATAACATATCATCATACTCATACACAAATTCTCCCCTACCAGCCTGGCAGACATTAAAAGGCTCAGCACTATCAGAGTAGCTTAGGATGCCAGGAAACAGTGCTGAGAGCTGCTTATGGGAATGTGAAGTGTCCAAGGCCTCTGAGACTCACACATAAAGACCTGTTCCCATCTCCAGCCACTTCTGATTCCTAACATCTGCCCATACATCCAATCTTCTGTTAACAAAGGGAAGGCAAATGAACACGTTTTTGTAGAGCACTGTAATACTAATTTTTACAATTGGCCAATTTAAAAAAAGTGTTGAGTAAATAATGGAACAGTGACACAAAGACATGGAAGAAAGGCAGGTGACCTTTGGGATACACTTGACACAGAATGTCTCAGTCAGCAGGAGGAAGAGTGCCCAATCACAGACCACTCAGCAGGGCAGTAGAGGTCAGTCTACCCAGTAGTGCAACAGAGAATCAGTGAGTCTCCAGGTCACATCAGGCCAATGTGGCCTCTGTGTACCTGGCATTACAACACTCAGATGATCCTGCCACTTCCCAGACCCACTTGCTTAGAAACTGGCAGACTTTAGAACAAAGTGTGTCCTCGGTAAAGAAGACAATTCTGATAACTTGTTCTATAGTCCCTTCCGTGTGTTGCTGTACAATGGGAACTACATGTCAAATTCCTCTAAAAAGAGTCCCAGAACAGCAAAAGAGCCCACTCTAGGGCACACATTAATCTTCCAGTGTAGCTGTAGAGCTGGCACTGGATGCTATGCACAAGCACGTGCAAAGAGATGCTATAGCAGGGCATTTCACCACAAGTCTTCTGTAATAGAGCTGCCAGAGTAACCATGGATAGAGCACTGGACTCCCCAAGCTCAGCTGAAGCTAAAGAGCTCAGGGCTGCTTATGGATGAGTGTTCTAAAGGACAGAAGAACTAGAGGATCTCAGAAATCTGACCTTGCCTGGCTGGTGTGGCTCAGTGGTTGAATGTTGACCCATGCACCAAGAGGTCACTGGCTCGATTTCCGGTCAGGGCACATGCCCAGATTGTGGGCCCAATCCCCAGTGGGGGGCATGTAGGAGGTAGCCAGTCGATGTTCTCTCTCATCCATGTTTCTGACTCTCTCTCCCTCTCCCTTCCTTCCTCTGTAAAATCAATAAAAAAGGAAAAAAAAAAAAAAAAAAGAAATCTGACCTTATTCTAACAGGCATGCTGTTCAGCCTTCTCACCCAAAATCTACACTTGAAAGAGAAGAAAACCAACAGCTTCACCCATAAATATCATGCCACCTACCCTCCAGAGTCTGTTCTTTTTACAGAGGTGCTGTGATGGGAGCGAGACGAAAGGAGTTCCTTCCGTGGCACTCACCTTCTCCTTTAATGTTGTGGGGGTAGCCAATGACAGCAGTCTCCGGCACTGCAGGGTGGCTAGCCTGCAGAATAAAAAGGCAAAATATGTAGGAGGTGGAACACCTGACACCACAAATTTTAGCTCTCAATCTGAGACCAACATGGCCTGCACTCACCATTGCATCCTCAATCTCTGCAGTCCCCAGCCTATGGCCACTGATGTTGATGACATCATCCATCCGCCCTGTGATCTGGTAATAGCCTCCCTCGGTTCGGTAAGCTCCATCTCCAGTGAAATAGTAGCCTGCACCACAGTGAGGAAATTCAGAGCCAATGCCTTTGAACCAGGACCCAGAGGGGCTCTCATCCTTACATAAGGAACACAATGGGACCCATGTACCAGCCTTGCTCTGTAGAGAAAAGCTCTGAAGCCCTGCACTCTGCTGACATGCTGCCTGCTGGCCATTCTTGCAACCCCTCATAGAGACACTGTCTAGATGTGCTGTTTGGCTGTGTGCCAGTGAAAGGGCAAATGGCTTTAACAAAATGGTGTGAATCAAGACTGAAAATGTCTTGGGAGAAGAAGATATATAAGGAGTTGCCCTCAGGCTTCCCAAAAAGTGAGTCTCATTTACAGGCTTGAGACTGAAGAGTATGGGCTCCAATAGGTATACTGTATTTGCCAACTCTTAACGCAATGACACAAAAGCAAACTGATGAAAAAGCTAGAAGAAAACTTTTAGTTATCATGACAGTTTTCCTAATAGCCTAAAGAGTACACACCATGGGTCATGGATATGCTCAGGGCTCTGTACACTCTCACACTTAACCCCATGATGTTCCCGAGGTGAGTCTTTTCCCATTTTAGACATAAGTCAGGGAAGTAAAGGGGGAGGAAGTAGGACTCAAACCGATGTCTTCAAAGTGCCTGTTCTTAACCTGCACTATGCTCACAAGTCACCATTATCTTAGAAACTTATTCTGAGAATAGGGTTCCAGCAGTGTGTGGAAAAGCATCACATAACCCACGTTAGTCTCCTCACCTGGATAAGCCTTGAAGTAGGCATCCATGAATCTCTGATGATCTCCATAGATGGTCCTAGCCATGCCTGGCCAGGCCTGAGAGAGGCACAGAGCCCCAGAAACATTGCCGCCCTCCACGACATTCCCCTGCAGACCGGGGAGACATGCATTTGAAAATATGGACAGATTCTCACTGAGAAACAAAGAACTGATAATCAGCTTCATTCTCCTAACTGCGTGGCTTGAGACAGAAAATGACAAGAGTGCACTGAAGGAAATGTCCAGAGCTTTTTCTTCCGCAAGGAATCCTCCTCAGGAGGACTTCTGAGGCGAACGTGGGCTTGCCCAATATGGTGATTGTATCCACTGTGTCTCTAAGAAGAGACTCTGCAGTACATACTGCATGAGGACACAGGCCCTCTCTGTTACCTGCTAGACCCTGGGCATGTGTGACATGGGCGAGTGGGTAAAGGAGGCCAGAAAGGCAAAAACACCGGGGAGCTCAGTGGGGTGCATGTAGAGGAGGGAGTCACTTCTGTGAGGCCCTTACACACCTTCTCATCCATAAGAGCTGGGACAATGCCAAAGAAGGGCCGCATCGCCATGCCGGGGAGGATTTCTGCCCCTTCTTCTGAGGGCCGTGGTGCAATGCAGATGCCACCTGTTTCTATGGGGATGACAGGGAAGAAACACCAATGGGCCAAGGAGCTAGTGACACATTTATTCAGGCCAAGTAGTCAAGAATCTAGGACAGACACACTGGCTGGTGCTCTCCCAGAGTGGGAGTTGGGTGGAACTGCCCATTTAGGGCAAGGAAACGGCCCCTACTGTCACAAAGATTTTTCTCTGAGGCAAAACTAGACTTGGGTTCTAATCTCCACTGTAGAATGGGAAAGGGGCCCTGGCAGAGGGCTCAGTTCCCAGGTGCCGTGGCTTCTTAGCTCACTGGGTGCTGCCTCTCCTCCTCCAGGGCCCTGTTTGTCCAGCCCTCACTTCAGAGGAAAAAGTGGAACCCACCTACTTGCACAAGAAGATAAAGACTTGCTTCTGGACCAGTGCCCCAAACAACAAAAACAGATGGCCACAAATTCTGTTTTCATATTATTTCTCTGACACTTCTTTCTGTCAGTCTACAGGGAAATACCTCACGAGATTCAGTTGTAATCTTAGTCCTGTGCCCTCCTGAATAGATGAGAACTGAGCCACTTGGAATATCCCACTTTCTGGCTTCTGGAAAAAGGAGACTTTAGCTATATCAGTGGTAGTCTCCTGGCCCAAACATCCTAATAAGTCAGAAACCCAAGAGAAGAGGGGGCAAATCTAAACAAAATGCCACAGAAAACTTTTCCCACTAAAATTTAGATTTAGACTTAAAGTTCCTTAAACAACAGGGCTCATCCTCATCACTCGCATTCAGAAAGCAGTCCTTATGAGGAAAGTGAACATTTGGCTGAGTACTTACTACATGTCAGGCCTTGGGCAACATGAGTTAATGGTATCATTTCATTGCATCCTCATTCAGAGTCTGGAGGGAGCACCCCCATTTTACAAATAAGGGAACTGACTCTCAGAGAAGTCATTACACATCCCAAGTCTTAAAGCTGCAAAGCCAGGCTCTACCTCTGAGCTTCAGAAACCAGCTTTTTATTAACCATATATGTTGAGGGCTGAGGCATTAGTGGTGTTGGATCGAATTCACATAGCCTCACACCTGACCACTCCCCACCTTGCCTCGCACCTGGTACTTAGCTGCATGTTCTCAGTGCACTAACTTGACAGCACAGCCATAGCAGGAAAGGCCTACCTGGTTCCCAAATGTGTCCTGACCCCTACTCCTGGAAGACACTCTCACCTGTCTGCCACCAGGTGTCTACCAGTGTACATCTGCTCTCCCCTACCACATTGTGGAGCCACTCCCAGGCCTCCTGGTTGATTGGTTCTCCCACTGAAACCACACACAAAAGAAAAAGAGATGTTAATAGATCTCAATAAACCTGAAACCAAAATGAATAGATGATTAAAGGGAAAACCGCTCTAACTTTTCCTGAAAGACATAATAGGAGGTTTGAAAAAGCAGTGAGATCTGTCACATTATGGCTATTAAAGAAATACAAGTTAAATTAGATATTTTCACCATTGGAGGGTCAAAAATAACAAAAATTGACAAGGATGTAGGGGGAAGAATATCACATGCACTGTAGGAGTATAATCTGGTACAGCAATTTTGGGGAGAAATGTGAGTACTTCTCTTTTTAAAAGTGCATACATCCTATACAAATATTTTGGTCAACTGTTTGGGACAGATTACACTAAAGTTAATATAGGTTTATCCTATTACTCAAAAATGTCACTCCTGACACACACTTCACAAAAACAAGTGCCTATGTTCACCAAAAATGGACATAAATAAGAATGTTCACAGTGGCCAAAAACTAAAATACTATTCATCAAGAGTGAAATGGGGAAATAAAATGTAGTATATGCATGCAGTAAATACCATATAGCATAAAAATGAATAAGCCATCACTACATTCAACACCAACAAGGACAAACCTCAGAGTCCTGGCCCTAAGCGATTACTGCGAGCACAAGAGTAATTCATGCAGCACAAGCCCATGTATATGAAGTTCAAGAATAAGAAAATCTATCCATGCTACAGCAGCCAAGTAGTGGTCATATCTGAGGGCTCCCGAATGGGAGAGGGCATAAGGGAGCCTGCTGGCGACTAGAAATTTTTATGGCCTGATCTGGATGTGGTAATACTTGTGTGTGTGTGTGAGTGTGTGTGTGTAGTTCTCAAGCTGAATGCCTAGCATTTGTGAATTTCATTATATTTTATACCTCAGTAGAAAGGGGAAAAGTACCTATGTGCTATGACTCTATTGCCAATTTCAGTGTCTACCTGCTGTGGTCTGAATGTGTATGCCTCCTAAATTTATGTCAAATTCTAACACTAAGACACTACACTAATGAAACACCCACACCAGACTAGCATTCAGCCAGAACTTGCAGGTTTTGATATACTACTGCTAAAATACTGAAATACTCTCATGCCGGTTGCCTCTTGCTTGGGACCACCCATGATGCAGCATCTAACCAAAGCTTGTTCTGATTGGAGTCTCCCATCTGGTCACCCAGGTGGCTGGGTTTTGTGTATATCACCCCTGCACTCACGTATGCCCACAAGGAGGCAGGAAGATGCCACTGCAACACTAGTTGATACTGGGAAACTGCCAATAGCCCCAATAGCCAACCACAGGGATATGACTACAAGAACCATGATAATCCCCACAGGAGGGTATGAGCAAGTTTTCAAACAACATAGCAGAGCTATATGGAAAACTGACTACTGATGAGTTAAAATAAACATCACATTGTAATAGTACAGTGTGATCACATTCATCATAAAGAAATCAGCTCAGAGCTGAGCTGTGTCTTTGCATAGAAATATAACTTTGAAGACCATGCTAGAACGTATACAAACAACAGGGTCCTCTGGGGTAGCACTCACAGGAACATCAGCTTTCATTGCAAAGTACCAAGTTTTGCTTTTTATAATAAGATTATACCTATGTTACTTATAAAATTAAAAGTTAAAAAAAAACTCTTTTAAGAAATATATATCTTGGGGTAGAAGTCTTGAGTGAACTAGATTCTGATGACTGGTGAAATTAGAAGAAATCAACATACCCAAAGCCTGAAGTGCTGTGAGGGCTAATCCAGCCACCTAGAATGGTCCTGAGCTATAACCATAGCAAAAGACCAGCACCAAGCTGGCCCTGCCCAGGTATAAAACATACAGTTTGTCCGAGAGCCCATGTTCTACAGCAGTCAAGGAAATCCCCAGGAGAAGCAGCTCAGAGAGAGGTCTTGAGGGAGGGTTGGATCCTGAGGTGGGAAGGAGCAACAGGGCACTGTAGGCAAGGGGGACAGAGGGAACCAGGGCCCTAAGTCCTGTACCAGCACTGCTCACCCTCATCACTGACAAGTAATGTGTGCACACCACCACTGAGCTACATTTGCTATGGACAAAATTGACAAAAAGACACATCCCATGAAAAACTACCAAGGAGATCTGTATATTCACCAAGAAGCAGGGAGGGCCTCCTGCCTTGTTTCCCTTTCTGACCACATCTGGCAACACGTGTAGGGGCAGAAATAAAATGAATCAAGAAAGAGCAGAGAGAACTGGCAGGACCTCCCAGCTACCCTCTGAATTAATCCCATATCATTTCCCAAAAGCTTTCATGAGATTTGGCAACCTCTGTTAAAACTAAAAATGGAAATAACCTTTGATCTTACAACTACCTGCATGGAAATACCTACAGTGAGAGCAGTGCACAGCACAGAATAACATTTATTTTGGTGCTTGGAAATAACAGGTGCCCAGCAACATGGGAATGCTCAGTGAACAGCAGTTGACTTCCACAGGGCAATCCCATGCAGCCACTGAAGAAAGAGCTCAGACCTTATCTTACAGAGTTGGTAAGGATTCATAAAAATGAAGCCCATAATATGGATAGGCACAGTAAGTGTCTGGAGTGCTGTGCCCCAGACTGTTAGCAGCTGTGGGCTCTGGGGAGGTGCTGACAGGCCTCTGCTTCCTACTTTATGCGGCCTAACATTGTTTGAATTCACCACAGACACAGTCACATAGCTTTCATGATTAAAACCATTTAGAAGCCTGCAGTGGCTTTGACAGACAATACACACACCCTCCCCAGCTACACAGCAATGCTCACCTGACCCCAAAGTCCGCAGGGATGAGCGGTCATACTTCTGCACCCAGGTGTCACCGTATTTTAGCAACAGCCGGACAGCTGTAGGGGCACCATAGAACTGATTGATCTTCAACCTTTGCACCATCTCCCAGTACCGACCTACAAAAAGGCCTCAATTCAGTTAGTCTCAGAGCCCACCAGACGGTATCTATTTTAACCTAATTTAGAGATCAGTCAACAATACTGGGTACTGGATACATATAAACACCTGCATTCTTTACAAAAGCAGGATTAAACACCCAACACCAGGATGGGAAGGGGGACCTCTGGGAAGGGGTTCCCTGTGGCAGTCATCCCCTGGCACACCCCCATCCATAGGCTTGCCCTTTTGTAAAAAGTTTCACCTGGCTCTGGACAGTTGCACCCACATAGTGTGCTCCATATAATATAGTGAGGAATCAGTTAAAAAGATGTTACTATGAATTTATAAACAACCCATGTAGCATTAATACAGAACTTGCATTTAGTTGCATTTAAATGGTCTCTAAAGTGGTGACTGGTGCTTCCCCTGGAACACTGTTCACAAATGCATGTGTCCCAGGGAGCAGGGCAACTGCCCAACATGCACTCACCTCATTTCCCATACTCCACCCTCAACTCATCACTATTATTGTGCACACAAAAAGCTGCACTTCAAGCGGTTAAAGTGACTGGCTATGACCCCTATATAGTCTTCCTAAAGAGTATCCAATCCCAGTGGGAGGCTGGAGAGGAGCAAAAGGAGGTGAAAAAGAAGTCCCACAAACATAACTGTCAGTTCTGTGGGATGCTTGAGCAAGAGCCTCTAGCAGGGCCACCATTATTGGATTATAATAAAACAAAGACTTGGGGACTCTGAGCTGAGTGGGAGAAAGATGTCAAAGTAAGAAAGATATGCCATGTCCTCTAAGTAAAATCAATTCATGGAGGTGGCTCCAGGACATGCATGACACATTCTGATGGAACAGCCCTAAAGGCACAAGTAGCAGGCTGAAGAAAGCACCTCTTCATCTGGGGGTCCAGAGGAGGGTGGCAGTTGATCTGGGCTTTGAGGAAGAGATGGATCTGGTCAGGAGTCCATAGAAGTAAGAACAGTGTTAAAGGGAAAGCCCAAGGCATGCAGTTTAAGTTAAAGAATGCTGGAGTGTGTGGTCTTGTGACAGCTTCCAGTACCAAATTAGACCCCCTCCTATTGCTCATCTGATCTTATTATGGACAAGGCAACTGTTGGGCAACTATGCCATGGGACCACAAACCATAGCCAGGCCAGTGCACAGGCCTCTATTCCACCCTCCTGTGAACTTTTCCTCCTTCCTCAAGCTCTCTCCCAGTCCTCACCAGGATCAGGGTAAACAGGAGTACTTTCAAAAAGGACAGTCGTTGCTCCATTGCAGAGGGGCCCATATACCACATAGCTGTGTCCAGTGATCCAGCCAATGTCAGCCACACAGCCGAAGACGTCTCCTGGCTGATAGTCAAACACAAGCTGCAGAAACAAGAGAGGCTTGTCAGAAGCCTAAGACCCAAAGTTCCCACATGTCACTAAGACTGGTCTATAACTACAAAATGTAGCCACTCCACTGGCCACCAAGAGCAGAGAAGTAAGTAAAAAGACAGAGTTATAGGTAAAAGCAACAACACCTTCTCAGAGGACAATTAAAAAAGCCAGACCTTAGAGTTACACTAATTAAAGCCCTAGATTGACAAAGCCAATCTCTATGCAGAAGTCACACTAAAGCTGATCTTGCTGGGGAACTGCCTTTGAGGTCATGTCAGGGCCTTCCAGGGGCAGATGATGCCCCATGATCATGAGTATTCACTCACAGGTAAAACTTCAGTGGTATGTATAGGGGCATTTTTCTGCATTAAGTTATACCACAATTAAAAATTTTCTTTTTTTAAATCAATGTAGTTTTTCTTTTAATTTGTTGATTTTAGAGAGAACAGAAAAAAACATCAATTTGTTGTCCTATTTATTTATGCATTCATTTATATGCCCTGACCAGGAATAAAACCTTGTTTTATAGGAACGATACTCCAACTGAGCTACCCGGCCAGGGCAAGTTATGCCACAATTTTTTGAATCCTTTAAAAACTGTGAAAAAGTAAAAAAGGCCAAAAAATGCCTCAAGCATCATCAGCTTCTAAGAGCCTGAGAGGAGAGATAGGTGTCTCCTGAATTCTTGCCAAAAGGTCCAACCTGAGCTTGATCCCATCTCTGGATCTAAATGCCCTTTGCAGGAAACACAGAGGAAAAGGGACAAATGGCCAGGTGCTGCAACAGACAAAGTTTAAGAAAATGAAAAGAATGGAGGGTAACCTATAGGTTTCAAAAGATTTAAAAGATATATCAAAAAATGTCAGTGGCAAGAGTAAGCTACAGAACCTAGGGTTGCACATCCAGGTGACAACCAGAGAAAGGAAAACACAAGGCAGTGATGCTGTAGAAGACAGGATGTGGGGAGGAGGCTGAGGGTGGATAGGCTATGAAAGGGTTTCTGTGAAGTTGGCAACATTCAATTTCTTGAGTGAAGTAGGTTGACTTATAATAATTCATTAAGCTACACATTTGACTTGGATGGTTTTCTGTATGTGTTCTATTTTGCAATAAACCTTTTAAAAAATTGGATCGTCTTCTGCTGCCAAAGAAAATGTTGAGATTCTCCAGGAATTCCCAGACAGCATAGTGGTGGTCTGGACACGACTAGGTACCCGTGGAACTGTGTCTGAGTGGAGGACAGATTCTTCAAGGAAGACCACATTTTCACTGCTCTGGTGAATCAGGACACCTACATCCCAAAACCCCACAGCATTAGGGAACTAAAAGGATTTTTAATACAACTCAGACCCAAACTGTCAAGTCTTTCAAAGGGCTGGATTTCTTTCCCTGCAGTTCTTAGAAGGAGAGCAGGTCCCTGGGGATGGCCATTCTCCAAGGGACCCAGCAGGCAGCTGGTGCCCTGCCCCTACTGCAAACAGCCAAAATCAGTTCACACCCCAAAATCAATTCACACCCCCATCATCCCTTTAGAGTCAACTGTCCATTTTTATTTTATTTTATTTTTTTCTTTTTAATTTTATTTTTGTTCCAGATGTTTCTCCTTTTTTACCCCATTGACACCCTCCTCCCCATCCCCCCCGCCCCATCCCGGGCTTTGTTGTCCATGTCCATTGGTTATGCGTACATGCATATAAGTTATGTGGTTTATCTCTTCCCTTGTCACCCCCACTCCCTTTTCTGAGGGTTGTCAGTCTATACCCTACTTCCATGTTTCTGGGTCTACCCTATTCCTCAGACTGTTATGTTCATTATATTCCACAAATAAGTGAGATCATGTGGTATGTCTTTTTCTGCTTAGCTTGTTTCACTTAGGATAATACTTTCCAGGTCCCTCCATGTCATCTCAAAGGATAAGAGATCTTTCTTTATTACAGCTGCATAGTACTCCATTGTGTATATGTACCACTGCTTTTTTATCCATTCGTCTACTGATGGGCACTTGGGTTGTTTCCAAATCTTAGCTCTTGTGAATAGTGCTGCTATGAACATGGGGGTACATATATTCTTTCTGATTGGTGTTTCAGGCTTCTTAGGGTATATTCCTAGAAGTGGGATCACTGGGTCAAATGGCAGTTCAATTTTTAATTTTTTGAGGTAACACCATAGTGTTTACCATAGTGGGTGTACCAATCTGCATTCCCACCAGCAGTGTACTGGAGTCCCCTTTTCTCCACACCCTCGCCAACACTTGTTGTTTGATGATTTGTTGATGGCGGCCATTCTGACAGGTGTGAGGTGATACCTCATTGTTGTTTTAATTTGCATTTCTCTGATGATTAGTGATGTTGAGCATTTCTTCATATGTCTCTTGGCCATTTGTATATCCTGTTTGGAGAGGTGTCCATTCAGCTTCTCTGCCCAGTTTTAAATTGGGTTCTTTGTCTTCCTTCGGCTGAGTTGTATGAGCACTCTATATATTTTGGAAATTAACCTCTTATCTGATGTATCATTGGCAATGATGTTCTCCCATACAGTGGGTTGCCTTTCCATTTTCATGGTTGTTTCTTTTGCTGTACAGAAGCTTTTGAGTTTGATGTAGTCCCATGTGTTCATTTTTTCCTTTGTTTCTGTTGCCTTAGGTGATGTATCAGTGAAAATTCTACTGCATATGATGTCCGAAATTTTTTTGTCTACATTTTCTTCTAGGATTTTTATGGATTCGCAGGTCACATTTAAGTCTTTTATCCATTTTAAGTTTATTCTTGTGTATGGTTTAAGTTGATAGTCTAGTTTCATTTTTTTTGCATGTAGCTATCAAATTTTCCCAACATCATTTATTAAAGAAGCTGTCTTTACTCCATTGTATGCTCTTGCCTTCTTTGTCAAATATTAATTGAGCATAGTGTCTTGGGTCCATTTCTGGGTTCTCTATTCTGTTCCACTGGTCTATATGCCTGTTCTTGTGCTAGTACCAGGCTGTTTTGATTACAGTAGTTTTGAAGTATAACCTGATACCTGGTATTATGATCCCTCCTACATTGTCCTTCTTTTTCAAGATTGCTATGGCTATCTGGGGTCTTTTTTGGTTCCATATGAACTTCTGAAATATTTGTTCTAGTTCTGTAAAATATATAGTTGGTATTTTGATGGGGATTGCATTGAATCTATAGATCGTTTTGGGTAATATGAACATTTTAATGATGTTAATTCTTCTAATCCATGAACAAGGTATGTGCTTCCACTTTTTTATATCTTCCTGTACTTCTTTTTTCAATTGTCCTTTAGTTTTCTGTAAATAGGTCCTTTGCTTCTTTGGTTAAGCCATGATGGTAAATGAGGTTGTTTTTTCAGTTTCTCTTTCTGTGAGTTCGTCATTGGTGTATAAGAATGCCGTCAATTTCTTGACGTTAATTTTCAACTGTCCTTTTCCCTGAAGAAACCAACTGCCCTAATATCCACACAGGTGCACACACATACATAGACAAATGTGCACACATACACACAAACACACTTATATAAAGAAGCCTGAAAGGTTCTATTCTTAGTACTTAAAAAAAAAATCTCATTGCACTGAAAAACAAACATTTCAAAAGATGGTCACCTTTCACACATCCCCACTTCTTTTGTTCATGTAGACAGTTTCCTGGAAATGCAAAACACTTTGAAAATGCAAAAGGAAAGAAAAAAAGAGAGAAGAATCTCTCACCTTAGCTTCCTTAATGTTAATTTTATTATAAACTGAAGAAAATAATTTGATTCATTCTGTGACTTTCTTGGTATTTTGTCTCTGTGTTTATATTTTCCAAAGTACTTTTATTTACATGACATAGCAATCTTTGCTACCAAGAACTGAGAAAGGGTGGGGTTTTTCAGTTGAGAACATTAAGGTCTAGAAAAGTTCTGTGACATGCTCAAGGTCACCCACCAGCCAGAGGCAACTACTTTAATATGGATTTGTATTAATTGTAACACACTGTATGCTCAGCCTGGTTCTGTACCACATCTGTCTTTTTGACTCTTTTTCAACATCCTCAAGGCTGGGTGTGAGTGGCCACCAGCGGGACCTAGCCATTGCCACTCAAAGGCTGTGTGCATGCTGCCCAGTACCTGCTCCTCATCCACTCTCACTCCATGAAGTTTACCTCCCACATGACCCAGCCTGGCCAATTAGCATATTCTACCCCCACCTCCACTCCTGACCACAGTGACTGGGGTTGTGGAGGCTCTCTCTGGCCCCTGGGAAAACCAAGTTGATAACCAGGTTGGGAACCTGGTAGGCATAGAAGAAGGCTGAAGCAGGGAGGATATCACTACCCAAGATAGTGTCCAAGCTCTGATTAGATGGGCCTGGGCTTTATAGCCACCTGGCCAGACACTTCCTTTTGCTGCTGGCACCTGCTAGAGCTCAGTTTTGCCTTCTAAAACAGAGAGAGTCTGGATCACAGATGATATATCGAAACCCAATCCCACCTAGTAAGTGTCAACCACTTCCCAAGGCAACCAGGGACACCGTGTTAAACTATAACCCACCACCAACATTTAAATGAGTACTGATTTCTAAACTGATCTACTGGAATAAAAAAACAAAAACGTGTGATAGTGTTTGTTTTATAATCTCTAAAGATGGCCCACTGTAATATAATTTCCATGTACTAAATTTAAGTTTCTTTATAAAACTAAATGTTTTTATTTTTAAAATGTGGCCCCAAAGAGTAGGGTCTAGAGGTCATAATACTTTTAGTGGCCCATCAAAATGTTTTACTTTCTTTTAAAATCAGAAGAAAAAAATAATCTTTTAAGTACATAAAAAAAGCTTTAATATATAATAGTAATATATTAATCCTTATAGCAATGTTGTTGTAAAATATTTTTTGACACTTTTTTTTAATAGAGGAAGGGGTCCAGGAAGGCCAAAGTGTCTTGGGCCTGAGCATCAGAATGTGGCCCTGCTAGTGCATCAGAGAGCTAGTGAGGACCCAATTCCTGTAGGCATTTGAGCCAATGGATAACACAGGCACAGGTCAAAGGACTGAAGACCAGCAATGAGAGTCTGGTTTGGGACCTGGACTCTTACAGCAAACAAGAACATGGACTCCCTTCCAATCCACTCTACTGGGCTAGTGCCATGACTCACAGCAGCCCTGCTCATGAGCACACTGTGGGAAAACATGAGCCCGTCTTCACACCTGAGGGCACTGCTTTATAGCAAGAGAAGTTCTAGCCCTAAATCCATCCCCGCCTGGCCATCTGCCCAATCCCACCAGGGAGGTGAGCAGCACCCACCCTCTATCCACCGACAATACCTTACCCTGTGTGTTATGGCAGCATAGAGCAGGTAGCCTGCCTGGGTATGCACGAGGCCCTTAGGCATCCCAGTGCTTCCAGAGGTGTACAGCAGGAAGAGCATGTCCTCACTGCCCATGCTTTCTGGGGCACACACAGGGTTCTCCTTGGCCATTTCCTGTAAGGGGGAAGACAAAATCAGCCCCATCCTTGGTAGTTAGCCTCTCCTCTCCATTTGGTTTTCCTGAAAACAGCACTGCCTGGCTGCTGTGAAACTCAGCAAACTGGATCAGAGCTCATCTTCTCTGGCCTGCCCTAATTCAATTCCAGATGCAGAGAAAACACAAAATAAAATTATGAATCCAATCATTTCTGTTACATTAGCTGTTTTACCATGCTTGTGGTATTTGAGTTCCACCTTCCCATCAAACACCACCCTGAACACCTCTGGGGGACCCAGATTCAAAACTACAATCTGACAAGACTGAAACCCAATTAACCCAATAATAACCTCTCCTCATCAAACTACAAATTGAGGTAAACCCACCTGCTCAAGGGGGACATCCAGATGCCCCATTTGGACCTTGTTGTCTGTCCTGTGAGCCACCAGGACATGCTGGATGGTTGGGCAGTGCTTCACAGCTTCATCCACTATCTTCTTCAGCTCCACCACACGCCCTCCCCGCAGTCCTTGGTTGAAGGTGATAACCACCTTGCACTTTGCTAACAGAGACAATGGACATTTCTGATCAGTTTCCTCTCCACTTTGACCCTCACAGCCCAGACTGGCAGCCACATATTCCAGGCACAGGAAGGTGATAAAGAAAATCCAATATTGAGTGTAAGAGTCAACAAAAACGTGAAGGGTGTGCCTGCTTTACAATCTTTGTGCAGAATACAGAAGCACCACACCTTTTCCCAGCTCTGAGGAAGAGCAGGAAGTAACTGGAGACAAGCAACTTTGAAGCTGAACGCTTCCAGCCTTCTACCACTCCTTCCTACCAGCTCTAGAAGCTTTCCTAGGAGAGAGGCCATCACATCACTCCCAGTCACAGCCACCATGAGTCAGAGGCCAAGAAAGCTGGGCAGTCAGAGACCGAACCCCAACATGTCCTGTGCGGCTCCTGCACTGTCTAGGGCCAAAGTTCCAGAGAACAAAGACCATACCCTAGGTGAATGCCAGGAGCTGCTAGCCCCTACCCTCACCTTCAGGGTAAGGCCCTCCAGGCTCAAAATTGCTCTTCAATGACCCAGCCAGGTTCATCCAGGCCCAGGGCAATGTACACTGATGGAATTCCATTCCATGGTTAACCTAGGGGGAGGCCCAGAGCAGGGAATTATGTACAAACATAACTAGGCCTCGGGACCACAAAGGAGTGACCCTCCACTCTGTGCCCTAACTCAGATGACCTGAAGGAATCAGGTTACAGTGGATTTTTAAACGGTTCCCTAAGGAAGAACCTGAAACAAATATCCAGTGTAGTGCTTGCTGGCTAGTGGGACCCAAGCACATCACGCTAAACTTTTAATCACTCTGTACCAAAGGGATTCTTTTGGAGCCACAGGCAGAGGTGCTAGGGAATTACCCTGACTCCAACAGCTCACAACAAGTGACTCTCAAGATCTGGAATATAAATACCCCAACTCCCTCATTCCTGGATAGAGGGTTATCTTGACACATGTGGTTCCATCATCTTATAGGGCATCCCTGAGGAACTGAGTTCTGGTCACTCACTGTGAAAATTGGTCTTATTTGGTTCCTCTTCCTAGCCTCACTCCCACTGTCCTATAGCACTTTGCAGGACCACTTCCCAAATGAACTCAGGGTCTGCTTCTGGGGGAGCACTAACTAAAGCACCACTCTCCTTGAGCTTCCCAATCTGAAAAGCAATTTCTAGCAACATATCCACATTCTTTCTTCCTCCCAAGAGCCCTGGAAATGATACAGCCTTGAGGGCTACCTGAGAATTATCTAGACAGGTCTTTGCAGCTGGATGACTCAGCAGGATCATACAGGGGTCAGAGACATAATTTAAACTCTCTGGGTTGCCAAAGGCAGTGCCATCTGGCTCTGCATACCATGGGTCCCTGGCCACACACACTCTTGCTCCTTGGACCTTAACAATCTGTCACCTTGTAAAAACAAATTCTATTGGGTAGAGACTGTCAGAAAGTCTCCAGGAATATATCCCTCAGAGCTGGGACTGGTCCAGGTAAGCTTCCTGCAGGGAAGGGAGATGATTCAGCAGGTTCAAAGGGACCCTTCTCAAGGAACTCCCCCTAGAGAAAACTCCCCCCAGGCCCATCCAACATGCTAGAATCATGTTATGTGGGTTTTAGGTCCTCCCCAGTTTCCCATGGCTCACGCCTCACTCCTGACATTCATTTGTCCAAAGCCTCTGCTTGGGTAGTTCTCAAGGGCAAGGAATCTGTGTGCACAGCTTTGGTTCCTAGGAGGTGCATGGGAGCACATGTAGCCTTATGGTTCCACATAGCCAATAGGTACAAGGTGAATTGGGGTACAGGTAGGATCAGCCTGATGCTTTGTCTGGGAGGATTTTATTTACCTTTCTGGGTTTTGAACAGGAATCAGCACCTGTATTGGTTTTCTATGGTTCCCATAAACTTGGTGGCTCAAACAGTAATATTTTAGCTCACAGTTCTGAAGTCCAGGTGAGCTCTACATGGTTCTGTCCTAAGAATCTCAAGGCAAAAATCAAGGTGTCAGGGTGTTATTGTCATAATTAGCTGGCTAATATTAAAATAGAAAGAAAACAAAAAGGAGGCCAAACATTATAATCATGGTCATGTGGGCATCTTCACCAGGAAGTTACAACTTTATACTCCCCAGGGAACCACCACCAGTCCATTCCTTGCAAATCACTGGGGTCTAAGAAAGGGCAAGATGGGCCCAGCCAGTGTGGCTCAGTGGTTGAGTGTCGACCCATACACCAAGAGGTCACCGGTTTGATTCCCGGTCAGGGCACATGTGTGGGGCATGCAGGAGGCAGCCAATTGATGTTCTCTCTCATAGATGTTTCCATCTCTCTCTTCCTCTCCCTTCTTCTCTCTCTAAAATCAATAAAGAAAAAAAATTAAAAAAACCAAAACAAAGGACAAGATGGGCACTTACACAGTGAAGTTGAGGAGATGTAAGAAAGGTGTCTGCCTGTCAGTCTAATCTGGGAAAAAGATAATTGGCTAGAGGGAAAGAGCCACAGCAAGTGCACAAAATCCTGAAGGGTTCATTGGTTAAACTCCCAGTTAAAATGTCGGGACAAAGAGTTCTCATTCTCTTGTTCCTCTTGCTTCACTCCTGCTTCCTTGCACTAGCTTGCTCCATGACCCACACTAGCCCACCATATGTCCCTAGAAGCCACATGGCCCATGGCCATGCAGACTGTACATTCAATGGACTGCAGCTGGAACATAAGCTAAACTAGAAAGATGCTGGACTGGACTGGACTTTGATATGGAGCAGAAACTGTGGGCAGTGGTTTTAATTCTAGCACTGCTTAAGACAAAATAGGACTTTTCCATGGTGAGACAGAGAAATGGGACCTAGGAGGAGAACTCTTTTAATGTTACATTATCAATAAAGTTTTCTAGATACCTCATCCTCCCATGGGGGCCTCGGGAAATTCTTGTTCCCATGGCACCCCAAGAGCTCCACTTCCACCAGTAACAGGTGGGGACACAGAGGGCATCCCACTGATAACAAGGGGCCTGGGCTCTTGTCTGGAGGCTCTCAGAGAAAATCTGCTTCAAGGCTCATTCAGAAGGTTGGCAGAATCAATTCCATGTGACTGTAGGACTGAGGTCCCCACATCCTTACTGCCAGCCAGTGGTTTTTGTCAGCTTCTAAAGACACTAACATCACGTGGCTTGTCACCTCTCTATCTTTAAAGCTAGCAAAGTCCTTCTCACCCTTTGAACCTCTCTGACCTCCCCTCTGTCACATGTCTTCTGCCTCCAGGCAGAGGAAGTTCTCTGCTTTCAAGGGCTTATATGATTAATTTGGACCCACCTAGATAATTTCTCCATTTTAAGGTATATTACATCTGTACAAATCTTCTGCCATGTTATGTAACATATTTACAGATTCTGGAGGCTTAGAGTGGCTATCTATGCAGGCCATGATTCTGTCCCTATAGCATCTCTCAGAGCCATTCTCCTCCCCTCCCCACGGCAACTCTGTCTCTCTCTTCACTCCTCATATGGCCTAAAGCAAGAGAATATATAAAGGAAAGATGAGTGGTCAGACCCTGGAAGCTAGGCCAAGGGACTAGAACTCTAGAATAATACATACTACCTGAGGTGGCCACCCAGCTCATGGTGAAACACTATAGCTATGCTTATACTGCCATCCTCCCATTGACAGATTAAAGATAGCTGCAAATTCTTGACCTAGTCTCGCACTACTTCTCATGGAGAAGTGGAGTCCAGGTCCCAGTCCCTTGAATTTGGGGGCCACTGACTGCTTTGACCATTAGAGTATTGCTAAAATTATGCTATCCATTTCCTTCTTCTTGGAGCCATGCAGCACTATATATGTCTGGCTACCTTAAGTTGGTGTGCTATGAGGAAACACAAGTTAGTCAAGTGGAAAGTGCCACAAAAAGAGGAAGTAATGACTGATGAGTCCCTCACCATTCAAGACAACCCAGCTGATATCCCAGGCATTGTGGAACAGGGAAAAGCCATTCCCACTGTGCCCATCTAACCCCTGCCCACAGAATCATAAAATACAATAATAATATTTATGGCCTAAAGCAACTATTTTAAGTACTAAGTTGTGGAGTAGTTTATTACATACCAATACACTACTCAGCAGTAATTACACAGCAATACAAAGCACTCCCTCATTGACCCGAAGAGGATACAGATACCTGTCCCAACAGAGTCCCATTCCCAGGAACGTGACAACTGAATAGCTGGACACAGAGACTGAAGGTAGTAGGGAAGAGATCTTGTAATGGCAAAGTTCTAGAGAACATTTACAGGAGGGTCCCCTACAGAGGTCCTCAGAGCCTCAGTCCCTGCCATCCCATAACCTGGTTGTTTAGGGTTCCTGAGGTTCTGGGTACTGCCCAGCTACTAAATTCCCATATGCTAAGTCTCCAGATTCAGGTGCTGTGATCTGTTTCTAAGAATTTTAACAGAGACATTTGGTAAATATGGGCACATCAGTAATAAAGAAAAGAAGCAGCCCAGTATAATGATAAAAGTATGACTCTGATGGCAGAATTCCTGGCTCTGTCACTAACTAATGATATGACCTTGAGCAAGTCACTTAACCTTTCTGTGCCTCAATTTCCTTGTCCTTAAAAGTAAATAGTAACCTTCTAATAAAGAACATTCCAGGGGATTCAAAAAAGGCAGTGGAGTAAATGGAAGCTACACAGGCCGTCTCCTAGAACCAAACTGGAATTGCAACTAAAATAAAGAAAAATTGGCAGGAAAAGGCAACAGAAAAGCAGCTTGTGAGGATCAATATAGCTTGCAGGGACACTGACTCAATCCTGGTAGGATTGTGGATGCGCAAGAGGGGTGCTGGGAGCCCACAGACAGCAGCAGCCTTAGCTGTGAGCAGCACCCTCACATTAAACTCCCAGGCAGCTCCACAGTGCAGAGCCAGGACAGACGCTAAAATAGACACAGCCATTCACCTTGGGCTCTGGCAGAGGAAGAGTGGACTGAACTGGAACTGTGTGGGGACAATT